ACTGTTTGCACTGCAAACACGAGCCCAGCCTGGGTTGGACCTGCCGTGGCCCTGCCAGCGTGGATGTGACCTTGGAGAAGTGGTCTTGCGTGGCTGCTTTGGGCTGGAAGAGACAAGTATGGGGCCGGGGGATGGATTCGGAGATGGGCTGGGATGAGGGAAGTGAAGCTCCTGCTTCCCTGCGTTTCCAGTGAGGTTTGGGGGAGCTAAATAGCTCCTGTGGTGCTGGAGGCTGGAACCGCCCCCCACGTCTTGGCCGTGTTATAATCTTGGGTGGCCGAACGTTTCCAGCCTGGGGCTCCTCACTGCGCTGGTAACAAACCCAAAGCTGTGCCGTCCGCTGTGGCAGAGGTCCCCGTGGCTGGGCCGGGTGGTAGCGTGCCGCTGAACACCGAGCTGCTCGCCGGGCCGCCGCTCGGCTCCGGCGCCACCACGACGGGGGGACACGGTGTTTTTTCGCGGTTACCAAACAATAATCCCACCGTGCGGGCCCGTCTCCTGGCGGTTTTGGCACTGCCGGTTGCTGTTGTGTTTTTTGGATCACAAAAGGCCACGTGTCAAGCCAAAAGTTTTTTTTTTTTTTCTAGGTTATTTACAATATCCAGAAGCTTGTATCAGCTGCTTGTGCAAATGAACAATTCTTCTGGTACCTTTTGCTTTCAAATTAAACACCCCAGATTAAAGTGTGAGTCTTAAGTAGGAGCCAGTCTTTAATTCCAGAGCTAAATCATGCCTTGCGACATCTTGCATTACTCGGAAGATGATGCAATAACTCACCCCTTGCCTAATACCATTGCTTAAATGGCAAGGTCCCTCAGCCTGGCTGTAGAGGAGCTAAATTGCTTTTTTATATTTTTTTTTTTTAGTTTTTTTAGATAGCTGGAAAAATACAAAGCCTGGGAGAGCATGTGTAGGCTCAGCTTTCTAGAGATGATCAGCTGGTTTTGGAGGTTCTTGGAAGCCCTCAGATCGCTCAGAAAAGTGGTATTGTAAATTCCTCTCCCATTTGCTTCATTTTTGATTATTGAAGAGCCCAGTTCTGGTCTCAGCCAAGTCATTACACTCTGGAGAAACCTTTTTTTTTTTCATCCCTTGACTGGAGACTGGTTCACCCCATCCCCCGACCGATGTCCTTTGGAAGTGCTGGTCCTTCTGCAGTGGGAACCCAGCTGATGTGGGAGCTGCTGGAGAGCTTGAGTTGGAGCTGAGTCTCCCTCCTCATCCTTTGTCGCTGAGACATGAGAGGCAGAAAGCACGTGGAGGCCAGGTAGGCGTCCTTCCTCCCGCCTTGGAGGATTGTGTGGAAGGGGAAGCCTTCTGCTGTATTCAGGGGATGGAGCCTTATGCAGTTGAGCAGCTTTTGAAGTTTGGGAAATAATAGTAGTTTTTAGATTTTAGAGTTTGCTTTAAACCATTGGTCCTTTATGCTCTTTTAGACTGTCACTAGACATGTTTTGGAAGCTGGGTAGAAAACTTTCAGGAGAATATAGTTTCTTGGTTGAACTTTACAGAAGAGAGATCCTTTCCCTGTTTCGAGGTGGTCTGTGGTCTTGATGGAAACCACCTTGAAACTTGGCTTTAGTCTCTTGAACTTCCTTCTTTGGGTTTTTAATACTAAAATCACAGAATAATTGAGGGTGGAAGGACCCTTCAGAGGTCTTCATCCCATCCCCGTGCTCAAAGCACAGCCAACTTCTAAGTTAGGTTGCTCAAGCCCCATGAAGTTGAGTTTTGAGCATCTCCAGGGATCCCCCACTCTCACGAGGAAGAGTTTCCCAAGTTGTGACTTCCTTGTCCTCTTGTTGCATGTGGCCAGGAGGAGTTTGGCTTCATTTTCTCTACACCCTCCAATCAGTGGCTGTAGGCAGCACCTTCACGCTCTCATCTTGAAGCAGAACGAGCCCAACTCCCCCAGTGTGTCTTCATCCATCATGTCCTTCACTCCCTGATGGCTGGGGACCTTCACTGGGTTCTCTTCGTTGGACACGGGATCTATCAACATCTCCGTGACCTCCTGACGCAGCAGGGCAACCTTGCTAATTATCACAGCTACCATTTGGAGTTTCATTAGTCTTAAAATACATGTTGAGCAGCTCCAGTACAAAATAAACCAGATCTTTTGTGTAGGAAGCATTTGTCATCTGAGCGGTGATGTGGAAAAGCACCTCAAGGTACATCCTGGTGTTTTTTGGGGTGGCAGTGAAGGTTTAGGCAAAATTTTTGCACCCTGATACGTGACTGAGCCACTCGAGCATGCCATTAACCTCTGCTAATCAACGCTGACCGTGATGGCCTCGATGAGCTGGGGCTCTTTCAGCTCTTCTGGAGATGTTGGTATTTGTCTGTTGCTGAATTTGTCTAGAGCCGGGTTAACTGTGTCTAGGAGAGCTCCTGGTCTCCACGTAACTGCTCCTGTACTAGAAAATTCACAGCTTTTTCCCTTATATCTGGCTTTTTGTGTGTGTTTTGACCATGAGCTCATGTGATGGCTCGATTTTGAAAGTGTCTTGATGTCTTGTCTGGTTTGCTTTAACGCTTGGGATAGAGGAAAAACAGAGGAGAGAGACCCGTGGCCCTGATACGAGGGTGTTTGACCTCTTGGAGGAGAGACGCTGAGCTCAAAAATGAATTTAGATTTGCTGTGCTCTCTCGGGAGAAGCTGCAGCCACGCTCCTGTGGTTAGAGGAGCAGCTCTTGCTGGATTACCATAGAGGGTAAATTTGAGCCTTCTAAGTCCAAGACATTAAACTCCCTCATCTCTCGCTGTTTCCAAGAAACCAGGATTTGCAGGGAGTGCAGTTACGTGCTCATCAGGAGAAAGATAAATCACCGCATGTTTTCCTCTAAAGGAGACAGTTTCTAAAAATAGGAGCTGCGCTGGAGCTCTGGAGAACAAAAGAGTCCCTGGAAGGCTCCTGCCACCGTCCTGTCTCTGCGATCAGTGCTCTCTGCCCCTCTCCATCCACACGCTGGGGATTTATAGAAGTGTTTAAAATCCGCTGATTTGGGAGGGTTGGGTTTTTTCCCTGTGCTTTCCCCCAGCGTTCCCACCCTGGCCGGCTGGTGACTCAGGCTTTCCTGAATGAATGCTGCCGGTCTTCCGTGACCTTGGCAGCTTGGCCCTGGATGCCGCTGGCCTTTTCCAAAATGATTTTGAAGCCAAAAGGACGTGATTTGGGAGCCAGGGATGCTGCCACCTCTCCAGGACAGGCTCTGACAGTGCTGATGCCGGATAAACCCCAAGCGATGTGCGTGGCCCCAGCTCTGTATCTAGATGAAAGAGCTCTAACCCGATCACCTCTGGCTGCGACCTGCATGTTGGAGATGCTCAGCCTTAAGTTTCGCCTCTACGGTGGCTCTCCTAAGATGTTGGAAGGACAGGAAGCCAGCCCTGGCTTTTCACATCTCTCTGCTTTCAGGTCAGGTCCTGCCCTGCCTTTCCCCATCTCCATAACCAGTGTGATGGCCTGCATACCACGTTCCTCCTGGTTTTATGGCACATAACCAGCAATCCCTAGACTAAACGCAAACCGTGAGCGGCTGCGTCCATCCCAGAGGGGACGGTGGTCAGTTTGGGCTGTAGCAGCTCTCAGGCTGCAGCAAACCCCATCTCCTTGGCCGTGTGTTTCCAAAGCGCTCCCCGTTTCCTTCCCAGGACGTTCAGCTTGACCCTGCTCTCTCCTCATCTTTTGTGCTCAACATTAAAGGCTCTCTGGGTCCTTGGTCGGTGCGTGGTGGAGGCTGAGCTGCTCTTTGCACATCCCTTCTCTCCATACGCCCCAGGCATGCTCTGTGCTGCGTCTGCACCCTCCATCAAGCTGTGGACACCTCCTTCCCGTGGCCTCCTGCTTATTTCCACCACATCAGTGAGCCCCAGGCAACTCCTGGGCTGCTGGGCTTCCCATGACTCAAGGTGATGATGACGGTGGGAGCAGAGATGTGGGACAATTCCTTGTTCTAGCTTGCTTGCTCAGGGCCGGGCTGCTGGGCGTCCCATGACCCAGGATGATGATGATGATGATGATGATGATGGGAGCAGGGACGCCGGACAGTTCCTCGTCCCAGCAGCACACTTTTTTGCCTGGGGCTGGTTCACAGCAGGAAGCAACGTGGCTTCACCCAGTTACGCCTTGGCTTCCCCAAGCTCCCAGTCTTGTAATAACAAGCAAGTCCCTGCTTTCCGTACAGCTGGGACAGGCGACGCGTGGCCGGACCAGGACGGGGAGGATCCAGCACGAGGAGCGAGACCCCCGTGTCCTGCCCTGAGCTCAGCCCCGGCTGACAGAGCCTCTGGGCCGGGGGGATTCGATCCAGATGTCTTCCTCGGACACAGCCGAAGACTTTCCTCCTCTTGAGGATGGGGGTATCTGGGTCTGATACAGCTCAGCAGACCCTGCAGATCTTCAGGAGGTACTTGCCTGCCTGTCATCGCTGCCTGAAATCCTGCCCTGCATCTTCTCACGAGCGGGCTCGGAGGTGATTTAGCCCAGGAGCCATCCTGGGGCTCTGGCCAACACCGATGATGCTCAGGCACTTGGAGAAGCCCTGAGTGCCGGTCCAAGGGCAGGGAGGTGTGCCGGCACCGGGGAGGCTCGTGAGCCACATGCGTAGAGCCGGGGGAACTGATGGTCTTCGTAGGGTGGACCAAGACAACCCTTGTCCAGCCGCAGGGCTGCGGCTCCGGGCCAGACACCTCTCCAGTGAGCAGGGGTGGTGGGAGCAGAGCCAGCAGCGTGTGCATCTTCCCCTCAAACTGCTTAGCTGCAGAACGATTATACATCAAATAGTTGTGCGCGGGATTAAACCCTCTTAAGTGTGGCTCGGAAATCCTCCTGTAATCCAGACCCAGCTGTAGGAGGGAAGGACGGGCATCAGGAGCAGAGGGGGTTTATCTGCTGGGAAAGCTTTTCTATCACACAAAAAAATAATCACTTTATTGCAAATTGTGTTGAAGAAGCCTCACTTGGGCACTGACCTTGGAGCTTTCCTCTCTGTTGCAGATGAGCCTGATCCTGCCCTCTCCGGTGCCGTCCCAGCCACAGCTCACAGGACCGAACTCGGGTAAGTTCCCACGGGATGTCACAGAGTGGGGCGCACACAGGAGCCCGTCTCCCTCTTGCTAATGGTACTCCAGTTACACGGAACCCCAAAATATCTCCCTGGCTGTCCTGAAAGAGGGTTGTCCCACCACTAAGAACGTCAGCAGGTCCCTTTGGAGCCAGCCAGCACAGTCCCCTCGCAGCGGAGCAGTGTTGGCTGCTCTAATTCATCTTGTTTTGTCCTGCTTCCCAACAAACCACCTCGCTTCTGCCTACCCCAAATTGCCCCTCGGAGCCACCCCGCTTCCTCTCAGTGCTGCTGGGGCTGTCCCTGCCGGGAGGTCGGTGCTTGATTTGGTTGCATTGGATGTCCCAAAGCTGCTAAGGGGTGGCCCAGATAGCTCTGAGCACCCTGGAAAAGACGGATTTTGGGCTCCCAGCCCAAGGGTCATGCAGGGCGATGGTTCCTGTCCCTCCTCGTGGCACCAGGGACCTGCACCTGGCTCAGAACCGCTCTCTGTCTTAGCCTGTTTAGCAATGCAACCAATGCCCAGCACGTTTTAATGGGCTTATTTTAGTATCTGCTGTTGACTGATCCTTCCTGGGCCAGCGGTTTCCTTAGTGAGTTATTTTTAATAACGTTTGCAGGGTTTACAGTGCATATGGGAATCACATTTCCCTGATATCACGCCACAGACAATGGTGAGCCCGTCCTCCAGTCCGCAGTAATTTCTCTCGAGTCAAAATAGGGAAAGATTTGGAGCTGGGAGAGCGAAAGTTGTGGGGTGGGAGAGTCAGTTCATCCCTAAACTTGGCTTTTTCCAGGAACAAGCTGGAAATAAATAGGTTTAAAAAGAAGGAGAGAGAGAGGCAGTACGAGAACCGTGTGGAACTGGCAGCCCTGCTGTCTCCAACAAAGGCGCTTTGTTCTCCTGGCAGCACAACTTGACCCGTGAGATAGTGTTTTGCTGGCCCTGGAGCAGCTCCTTGCACAAGGTCTCGAGTCACCGGGCTTCTCCGGGTGTCAGGCTCTGCGGCCGGGCAGGTTTCTTCCCTCGGGATGGTTTAGCAGGGGGCAGGAGCCGAGATGCGGTGGTTTGCATCCTGCTCTCGGCCGTGCCACTGTGCCATGGGTGCTGCATAGAGGGAGGAGCCCGGCGTGAAGCTGGCCGTGGAGGACAGAAGCTGCGTCCCATCCTTAGGGCAGGGATGGGGACGTGGAGGGGTCTTGCTTTGCTCTCCAGCTTGGTGGATGCCCCGAGTCTACTGGGGCTCCTGGGTCCCTTGGGCCCCAGTTCAGAAGCCCAAATGTGGGGATCAGGTGCCATCTGAGGCCTCTCTGCGTCCCCACCGAGCCTCTCACCACCCCAGCAGAAGGGCTTGAGGCTCTTGCAGATCCTGTCCTATAACCGTTGGTCCCATGCAGATGTCTCCAATCCTTCGAGGAGTCTTGGAGAACATCAAGTGCCTCTCTTGCACCCTCCTGGCCCTCCCCATGTCCCTTCTTCCCTGAAAAAGCCTCCAAGCCCAACGTAGGGCTTTCAAAACCACCAGGCTGGGACTGTCCCTGGGCGTCCTCAGCCCCTCTGGTAATACCCAACACATCTTCAGTGCCGCAGTGGTACCCACAGCGCCCGCCTGGGTGGCAGGGGGCCACCCAGTCCCACTGCAGAGCTCACTACGTGGAGGCTCGTGTTCTCCAGCTGCTTGACGGGGCCTTCCCAGCTTTGGGGTCCTTGCAGAGGGTTTGGAAGAGGATGGGGAGGAACCACCTTTGTCCACCTTTGTGGCTTGAGGTCTCTGCACAGGGAAGAAAGACTTCCCGCTCCTGCTGTGGAGAGGGATCACCCAGGGACTTTCATTTATGGACACAAACCGTTATTTGGTCCCAGAGACTTTTGGTATGACCCATGCTGACAAATCTGTCGTTCTGCAACTTTGAAGAGCTCATTGGCCTGTTCTTTGGCCTGATAATAGGTGTCATTGCTAAGAGCAAATATCCCTGTTGAGCTGGGTAAAAAGGAGGCAATAAGGTGTCCAAGCATCCTGAGAAATTAGGAGAGGAAAGGGAAGGAGAAGCAGCGAGTGAGGTGGAGCAAGGGGAAGATGACTTCTGGCCCAGGGCAGGAATTGGTTTTGTGGTGATGGAACCCAACACTCCCGTTGTGCCTGGCATGAACGCGGCAGAGCCGCTGCAGGGAGCAGATACAGCCATCGCTGGAGCGAGTTTGGAGCAAGCCCAGGAGAAGATGCAGAAATTATTTTAGCCAGGGGAGCATGGGAGGGGATGGGCTTGTTTTTGTCCCGAGTCTTTAATATTTGGGGTGATGTGGAAGTCACCGTGAAATCGCCAGCCTGTGTTATGCCGTCACACCCCGCAGGCTCGCCCTGGTTCTGGGACAACCCTTTGTCAATGGACACGGTCGCCCTATCCCGTTAGCGGGTTATTAACTTTCAAACCTTATTTACAGCTCCACGAATGAAGAGCATTTGGAGTTCAAGAAGGCTTTGTACAGAACGGATGCCAGGAGCTCCCTAGACCTGCGAAACGTGAGCGTGTCTGGCAGCGTGACCTGGGACACCTCTGCCCTGGAGACAAGCGTGGGTGATGGAAGAGAAGAAAGCACTTTAGAGAGACTCTCTGGCTTGAAGGACTCGAAGGACACGCGGTGTGTAAAGGAGTCGGCGTTCGCCGTGGAGCCCCAGGTTGTAAATACTGTGCAGGTGGATCCCGAGCAACTGGAGAGCGACTCCGAGGACCTGGAGGGTGGCAAGGTGGCAGCAGAGACACCCAGCCCTTGTGCTGGGGCATCGGTTGGCAGCGAGGAGGAGAAATATCTTAAAAATGAACCAAAGCAACTTGAAGGCCTCAGCAAAGAGCACTTAGATAAAAGCAAGAGGGGAATCCAGAGGGTCGACTGGATTTCTAGACCCAGCAAAAGCCCAAGTCCTCACTACAAAGACATAAACAAGCCGACAGATGTAGCAACCAACTTGCCCTTTCGGGGACAGTCTGTGCGTGAAGTGCCTCCGCCGCTGACTCCCACGGTGTTCAGAAAAACGCTAAACCCTGTCCTCAGCAAGTCCAAATCCCTGGAGAGCTCCTCATCCCACAGGAAGGGGCTGATGGTCGACGCGGACTTGGGCGAGATCAGCCAGCTCAATGCGGCCGAGTGGACAATCCAGAAGCCAGGTCTTCAGCTCGGCGCCGACCTCGCCGTCGGCAAACAGTCCTGGACGGTAAATGCCGAAGACTCGGTGGAGCGGATCCCGTTGATGTCTCTGGAGCCCGCTCCCTGCAGCTCCTACGACATCGAGATGAGGCCCTACGTGTGCAGCGTCTTGTTGGAGGGGCAGGGGAAAGAGGAGCTGGGTCCGGAGGAGGACCCTACGGTGTACACCTGCATCGAGTGCAGCATTTACTTCAAGAAAAAGGAACATTTGATGGATCACATGCTTCAGCATAATCGTGGACCAGGGAGGGACCAAGACAGAGACGCTTTGGGAGGGCAGTGTCAATTCTGCTGCAACGAGTGTGGATGGGCCTTTGGAGACCCCACGTCTCTGGAGCAGCACAAAAGGCTCCACCAAGAGTCTAGGGAAAAAATTATCGAAGAGATCCAGAAGTTGAACGAGTTTCCAGACGAAGGCCGGGAAGCCCGGCTGCAGTGCCCCAAGTGCGTCTTTGGCACAAACTCCTCCAAGATCTTTGTCCAGCACGCCAAGATGCACGTCAAGGAGAGGAAGGACCAAGGGGCAAAGAACCTGAATCTCTTTGGAAGCGCGGGCAGCGGAGAAATACGGGATAGCCCCGTGCACGGCATCTACAAACACTTCAAACCAAATGAACACATGTCCCTGCAGATGCAGGTGCCACCTCACGGCAGCGGCAAAGGGCTCAGCACGTGTATGCTCTGCAGCTTCCCGGCCCCCAACGAGAACATCCTCAAGGAGCACATGAAATACGCCCATTCCCACCTCTCCTGGGACACGGAGGTGTATGAGGATGATCCCAATCAGCCGGGAACGAGCAGAGATGCCTACAGCCCGGCCAGGCCAGGCCGGTTTGCAGAGACGGATTATTTTGGCAAAGCAGACCGGCTCTTCCCTCCGCCTCACCGAGAAAGCACATCGCACTACGAAGCTGTCCACGGTTTTGCCCTGACTCACCCAAGACACGACAAAAGCAACGGGGCTAGTAAAAAGGACTATCAGACATCAGGGTTTCATGCCAGGAAGGCAGCTCCATACTCTGCCCCGCACAAAAACCTGGGGCTGTCTGGTTTTCCCTCTGCTAAAGCTTATTCCCAATTTGCTCTGCAGCAGCTGAAAAAAAAAGCAGCAGCTCAGCACCTTGAAGGAGAAGGCGACGGTCTCAGGAGCCACCCGATGGGGTTGGAGGAGCTCAGGCACAAGTGGGTGTTGGCCAATGATGCTGGGAGCATGGAAGAGGAGATCACCGTAAGCGCAGACATGGATTTGAGCGACAACAGAGGCATCAAACCCGTCACCATCCCTCAAGCTGCCTTGGACCTCAAGAGGACGTTCAGAGACACCTTGAAAGCCACGGACTCTTCGATCGCTTCGGAGGAGCAGCAGCAGCAGTTGCGGAAGATGGTCCCCATCGTCCTCCTGGAGGAGGTGAACCTGCACCCCAAGACGACGAAGCGGCCCCGGGGGAAGCCGTTCAAGAAGAAAACAACGCTCCCTTCCCGGGAATTCATGATGGAAGAGCCCCTTCCCTTGGATGTGCTCCTGTTGGACGCTCCTCTGGAGGGTCCTCTGGAGCTTGATGACCTCTTGGACTCCGACTCACCCATGCTGAAGAACGAGGAGAGGAAATGCCCCTACTGCCCAGACAGGTTCCACAACGGGATCGGGCTGGCAAACCACGTGCGGGGCCACCTCAACAGGGTGGGGGTGAGCTACAACGTCCGTCACTTCATCTCAGCGGAAGAAGTGAAAGCTATTGAGCAAAAATTTTCCTTCCAAAAGAAGAAGAAAAAAGGTAGTATGTATTCAATTCACCGTGCTTTCTATTTTCTTGTTTTAATCACTGGGGTTTTCTCCTCCCACCAAGAACTGGGTATGTATGGTACTGTGGTCAACCCGAGCCGCGGTGGCCACGGCGCAGCCGGCGGTGTGCGGTTGTCTCGGGTGCAATTCCCATCCCCCCCGCCCGCCCGGAGGCCTGACGCAGGGTGCTCAGCGGCGGCGCTGACTGTCTGTCCTTCTTTCCGCAGTTGCCAACTTCGACCCGAGTACTTTCAGCCTGATGCGATGCGAATTCTGCGGGGCCGGCTTCGACACGCGAGCGGGTCTCTCCAGCCACGCCAGAGCCCACCTGAGAGACTTTGGTATTACCAACTGGGAACTCACCATCTCGCCCATTAACATCCTCAAGGAGCTGTTGGCCAACTCATCGGAGCATCCGATGCTGCAAGCGGCGATGGGAGCGGAGCCCTCGTCCCCGAGCCGAGAGAGGGAGGCTCACGGCTTCGTGCCCCGCAAGAGCATGACCCCCATGTCCGAGTGCAGCATTCCACGGTCGCCTCTGTCCCCGTTCCCCCCGTCCTGGGGAGACGAGTCCCTGCAGTCCTACAGAGACGGTAAGTGTCCCCGAACACTGTGCGAGCCAGAAAACCTTTCGATAACCCCAAACCATCGCGTCCTGCTGAACAGAGCCTTGCTGGAGGGCGGGAATTTACAGGGGAGGGTTTAATCGGCGTAACCTGGTGTTAATTTATCTGTCGCCATCGTTGACGCTCCGTGCCCTGTGAAATCTGATGCTGGTTTGGGGGGCAGACAGATGGAGATACCGGCAGATGAAAGAGCCAGGCAGCGCGGTCTCTTGAGGGGTGGGTGGAGGGGTCGCATCCCACCAGGGAGCTGCGTGTTGGATGCTTGGGCTTTGTCATTTGAAAAGCGTCGTGTTTAGGAATGAGGTTTCCATCGGGGAAACCTCTAAAGCTTCAGAGACTGTGGGGCAGAGTGTGGCTGGAGGGAAGGAGAGGAGCGTGGCCGCAGGTACCCGTCTCCAGTCTGGCAGTGCTCAGCCACGCGAAAGGCAGGATGTGACCTCTGCTCTGGGGATCTGTGTTTACCCCTCGGCTGCTAATTTCCCATAGGTCTTATGTTACCGTGGGCGGGAAACGTAAAGGGCCCTTCCCATGTGGATTGGGGTCTGAGCTGGTCCCCTTCCACCGGTGGAGCTCCAGACCATTCCAACTATCTATTCCTATGCCAGAGCAGAGCCCATCCCAAGCAGCTTCCAGGTTTCCCTTTGCAAGGCTCCAGAAAACTGAGTTTGCACCAAAACTCAGTTGGCAAAGGCTCATTCTTCCAAAGGCTAAAAACTTGCTCGTGCACTAGGAAAAACAACCACCTACTGACACCTGGTGCTTCTGGCAGCTTCTTCAAGTCCTTGAAGCAGCTTCTCGTTAGGTTCTGCTCAGCCTAATCCTATGTTAGATGCACCCCTGCAGCGAGAAGCTCTCTGTCTTGGATTGAAATATCAAAGAGCCTGTAATCCCAGCTCTCCAGACTGCTCCACATGCTCTTTGGAACGAGTCTTGAGCCTAACAAACACGAATTAAAACGCGAACAAACCCAAACTCTTCTTTCTTGGCCTGGCAAACCTCGGAGGATGGATAGCTACCAGCCCGTGGTGGTGGTTGATGCCACCGAGAGGCGTTTTGAAGGGCTCAGCTGGGTTTCAGCTGCCAGTGGCTGGATGCTCCTGCTGACTGTGACTATCGCTCGGCAATTTTTAGGTCTCCCGGTGCCCAGAATTCACTGGCACAAGCAGTTACAGATAGCGCCGCTGTTTTAAAAACTAGGGCTTGGGTATTTTGTAGTTAAGAAGGGTGGAAAGTATCTCAGTGAAGAAAGAGTGTGGCCACCCTTCGGTAACAACCGCTCGTTGGAGAAGAGGTTAATGCAGTTCTTAACGCAGCGGATCTAATATCAAATGTCCCCAATGTGAAGTTTTAGGAAGAAAAAAAAAAAAAAAAAAAAAAATGGGTCATGTCTTGAAATATGATCTTGCTTATCAGTTCGGGCAACGTCACTCAAGTTCTTTTGCAGCATGTGATGTTGGCCCGGGGCTGGGAACATCTCCTGCTCCTGGCTGTACCCATCTCCAGTTGCCTTGAAATGCTGGTGGGTGTTCGGTGGGAGAAATTGGGTTGAGAATTGTCCTTCTAGGTAAAAGTAGTTGAATTACAGCTTGATGTTGGTCTGCTTCAGAGTTATATTTAAACCCAGATGAGGTTGGGGATGGACATGTGGGTTGAGTGGGGGGTGAGCGCGACATGCACAAGAGCAAGGGCTCAAATACCCCCTTAAGCTGCGCCCCTGGATTTCAACTTGCATGCTCCTTATCCCCTACGAGACGTGTCTTTGGGGGACAATGCCAAGAAAACGGGTAAATTTGGAAAGCTTGAAAATCCCTGGCCCGGCAACCTGTTGTGTAACCAAAGCATGCGCAGCGGATCACGTGGAGATAGCGATTGGTGGATGCTTTTGTATTTAAATCCAAGCCTGAAGTCTCTTAGTTACGCTCCCAAGCTCGCGGAGACGACTCGCCGCGAGTCGAAACCCTCCTTGTTTTGCTTCCAGCCCCAGACGACGCTTTCAGGGCGCTCCGGCTTCGTGCTGGAAGTATCTGTCGCAACCGATTTCGGAACGAAGCGGCGCCCGTTGGCGTTGCAATATTTATTTAACTCTTGCTCCGGGCACGGCTGTGGGGAAGCAGCTGAGCAAATAGCGAAGTGCGTTTGGAGATGAGGGATGCCAAATCTGTAGCCAGGAGGATTTTAGCTGTTTTTTTTTTTTTTTTTTTTTTTTAAGCCCACTTGTCCCCGTGCCGCTTTAAATCGCTCGTGAGACGTGCGAGAGCTCGAGTGAGCTGCCTGGTTTTGCGTGGGACTTTGCAGCCGTGCTAAAGCCGCGACCGCTGCTCCCGGGATGGAGCGAGGAGCTGCCTTAAGGGCACCTGCTTAGCATTAATGCTCTCTGCTCGTGTTCTATGCAAATTCTGTAATTCGCAGAGGGTTTTAAGCAACCTTAAGGAGGGAAAGGCCGCTGGCAAGTTATAACGGCAGGAGGATCCGGTGAAAAGTCAGCGGTGGCGCCGCGCGGGGCGGGTGGCTCCGTGTCGGGGTGCCGGCAGCCCCGCGCCGGGGGAGCAGCAGCGCTGCTCGCGCCCCGGGACGATGTCGCAGCTCGGCATCTGCAGGCAGCTCGCTGCGAACCGCTTCCTGCTTCCTTCCTCTCCGGTTCCAGACACACGAACCGCCAGAAGGTCTCTGCTGGCATTGCAAGATGCCTCTCGAGCTGTTAAGAGCTCAGAATATCAGTAGACCCTTAACCGAACCCCTCTGTCGTGGGGGCAGGGAGAAACCCCCTCTTCGGGGAGCGCTTTGTGAACGGGTTTCTGCGCCAGCTGCGGTTCATGGTTTCTAACGAGGCTGCAGTGGGAAACGAAGGCAGAGGATTTGGCTCCAGGTTCTGGGAGCCTGATTTGGTGAGCGTGGTGGTGCTCTCCCTTCTTGGGGCTCGCCACCAAATCACGACAAGACCTGAGCGTCTCGGTCCTCGCGGGGTGAAGCCTCCCCTGCCTGAGCTGCTCGCAGGTGGGACACAAAGAAGAAACAAAGAGCGGCGTTGGGAAAGGGCTGAGGGTTTAACACATGCTCGCGCCCTTGCTGGCCTCGTACCCTTGGCTGCTTGCTTAAAAACAAAAAAAGAAACCTCTTCAAGCAAAACTAAAAGTCAGAGGGAGGAAGTAGGTGTTTGGGTCTGTGGCGAGAACTTGCACTTGGCTGCGCTGGTTGTTTAGATGGGAGTGTGTGTGGCAAAACCAGGATGCTTTGAGATACTGGGGGGATCTTAGAGGTTACCTGCTCCCTCCCACTGCTTTCAGGCAAGTCCACAGTACCTAAACCAACTGGAACGTGGCTGCTCCGGGCTCCACCGCCGCCCTCGGCATCCACGCTGCCGTCACCAAGCCTCACCCTTAGAAAGCCAAGGGGGCCTCTGATATTTTTAATACCTAAATCCACTATTGTTCATTTTACCCAGCATAAGCAGAGACAACAGCTTTTGTTCTTCTGTAGATCCAGATCCTTCAATCTCCCCTTTTTGGTCCTGATTGTAGTCCCTCGATCGTTGGTGATTCCCTCCCCGCTATGGCTGAACCCTCCCCTGCAGTGCCACGCTCCGTGTCGGACACGTCCCGGCTGCTGTGCCGTGGAGAGCAGGAGGGTTATCTCAGCTCCTGCCCGGCCCAGGACGGGCTGTGACGTGGGGGAGGTTGCAACACTCCCTCTGGTCCGGTTTGAGAACAGCTTAGAAGTCTGGAAACTGTGTTTTGTTTTGTTTTGCTTTGTTTTCTTTCCCCCCACCCTTTCCTGTGTGAACGCTGGCTCCTGAGCTGTCCCCGTGGAGTTGGTGGCTCCTCCAGGCAGGTCCCTGCACTCCGCGGTGGCTTTCCCCGTAGGTTGTGACGGGTGAAGGTGTGTCTTGCTGCTGCAGCCGCCTCCTTAAAGCCTGGCTTGGCTCGTTAGCCAGGCTGTTTGTGTATCTCCTGGCTCCGAACCTATTGGCAGCCGCCACGGAGAACACGTGGCGCCTCTTGGCAGGCGGTGGGAAGTGTTAGGCAATTGCATCCTCTCCCAAACGGCTTGCAGTGCTCCTTCCTCGTGGCTTGCCTCACCTTGCTCTGTCACCCAGACTTTCGCAGGCTGGGCATCATCATCCTTGGCTATTCTCCCCTTTTTTTGTGTGGATTTAACTCCCCACGATCCCCCTTACCGTCCCAAACTGAGAGGTCTTCTGCTCTGTGAGGTCTTTCTCCTCTCGCTCTGCTCCCCTGCAGCGATAGTGATGTTTCACCACAGCTGGGAATAGGGGCGAATCTACATCTGCTGGTTGACCTTCCGCCCCACGCAGAGTCTTCTGGAGCGATCCAAACCGGTGCGAGTCTTGAGGAGGAGGGTTGGTTGAATGGCACAAGCTTAGGGAATGATTCTCCGACTCCTCCATCTGCTGCTTGCTCGTGTTGGGGCCCTGGATGAGGACTTACGGTAGGGACCAGCCCCACTTCTACACAAGGTCCTGCCTTGGCTGAACAGTGTCTTTTTGTTCTCTAGAGCATAATTTTCAGAAAGAAACATTCTTAGGGTCTCCTGGGCTGGAAGATCCACAAGGATCGTCAAGCCCAAGTCCTGAGTCCACACAGGGCAACCAAAAAGTTAAACCCTGTATCTAAGAGCGTCCTCCAAGCTCCTCCTCAACACCAACAGGCTTGGGGCTGTGGCCTCATCCCTTGGGAGCTTCTTCCAGTGCTTGACCACCCTCTCCAGGAAGAACTCTCTCCTAATGGCCAACCTGAACTTCCCTTGATGCAACCTGAAGCCGTTCCCTTGTGTCCTACCACCAGACACTGGAGAGATCAGCACCTCCCTCTCCGTCCCCCAGCACAGGGAAGTTGTAGCCATCAATGAGGTCACCCCTCAGTCTCCTCTTCTCCAGGCTGACCGGTCCTGGTACCCTCAGCTGTTCCTCACAAGTCCTTTCATCACCTCTGTTGCCCTCCTCTGGACAC